TACTACACCATAAAATTGGAAATTACGGAACTGCTTGCCAAAGTGTGACCAGTTAAATAAAAATGGTATGTTGTTGTTATTATTTTGAGATAGGGTCTTGCTATGTTGCCCTGGCTGGTCCTGAATCTCTGGGCTTACATGATCCTTCTGCCTCAGCCTCCCAAGTACAGTAGTTGGGATACAGGACCCATATAGTGTAATTATATGATAAAATATGTGGCCATTCAAATAAGGTAGAAATGTTGACACAGGAAAATTCACAACACATTGTTTATTTTAAAGTAGGTTACAGAAAAAAAAGTAGATTACCAAGTAGGCTCAAGATAAGCACTGGTAACCTCAGCTACTAAGGAGGCTGAGCTAAGAGGATCACTTGATTTTTTATTTTTTATTTTTTTATTTTTAACATTTATTTAGTGTGTGTGTGTGTGTGTGTGTGTGTGTGTGTGTGTGTGTGGCCAGCTCAGCCCACCAGGGGGCGAGGCTGGCTGGCATGTGGTGCTGGAGGATCGAACCGCGGTCCCTGTGCTTTGCCAACCTTGTTCCAAGTAGGTGCTTTAGACCACTGAGCCATCTCTCCAGCCCCACTTGATTTCTTTTTGTTGTAATGTTTTGTTTTGTTTTGTACAGGGTCTCACTAGGCAGCTGGAACTCATAGCAATCTTCCACCAGGCCCAGACTTAGTCACAGGCTCAGATGCCCCAGGGGTTGGGGCCAGCACAGCATGTGGTACCAGGAATGGAACACTGGTCCCTGCATTTGCCTAAGCAGGTGCTTAGTCTGCTGAGCTACCTCACCAGCCCAGTCCAAGCTACTTCTAAAGTTTAAAACTGTATTATGACATGGCATTGTTGTAGACAACTGAATTAGATAAAAATATTATGGGCAGTCAGACAGGGACAGACCCTCAAGGAGACAAGATGGAAGACAAGATGACTTTGCAACTTGGAAGAGACAATACTCCCATACGGGGCACACCTCAAAACCAAGACAAAAGAGGAAACACAAGCATATACTTCCCTAGGGATGGGCATCAGGGATTGATATTCTAAGTGGGTATCAATCACCTTGAAAGAACCCAAACGAGTCACTGGCCCAACCCCCAACAGGAAGAGACCCTGTCCCATATTTATGCCTGCTTGCTATGTGACTCTTTCCCCATTTGGTACTGGATTTAATCAATTTTACCTGAGCAATGGTGTTTGTAATCTCATTGGTTGACCATTGTTTGGTCCCACCTCATGCCCACATAAGCGAGTTCCCAAGTCTTCACCACCTTAGACCTGCCTCACCACATGGTTTTTCTCTATAAAAGTCCCTGGAAGAGACAGCTTCCCAGGGACAACCTGCTGGGGGCAGGGAGGTGGGGGAGCTCCTGTCCCTCTCTTGGACGGCAGCTTTCTTTCTCTTAATAAATATATTCTTCTTATAATCTCTGCTTGTTCCTAAAATTCATTCTTCAGTTTTAGAGAACACAAACTCATCCCAGGCACCTTTTAGGTTGGGAGATCAGTTTTTCTCCCTGTTCCATTTGGAGGTTCCCTGTATCTGAATGATACTTCTTTGTTTCTTTCTTTTTTTTCTACTGGGGACTAAACCCAAAAAGGCCTTTGCACTGACTTGTATTTTTCTCCATTTTGAGACAGGCTCTCAGGAACCAAAATGGTGGCTTTCTCAGCTGCTAGGCTGGTCCCACCCGCAGGTGGGGCGGCCTATGTCAAGTGGCACCCACAGCGGGGGAAGGCTCAGCTTGCATTTGGAAGGCCCTCACCTTCTTTGTGGCGCTCCTGCTCCCGGGGGCAGGAGTGAGCATGCTGAATGTTTTAAGTCGCCCCACGGGGAGGAGGAGAGAGTTCATTGCCTACCCCCACCTCAGCATCAGGACCAAGCCTTTTCCTTGGGGAGATGGTAACCATACTCTGTTCCATAACTCTTGTGTGAATCCACTTTCGACTGGCTATGGAGATGAATGAAGAGAACCTGGACCATCATTACCCGGGCAGCATGGCTCTGACTTGGACCATTACTCTGCACTTGGACAAGAAAAGCATATGGGACCTTCTTTACTTGTATCAAATGGTGACCATCATACTGATCTTCCATCCCTTTGCTTCTGCAAGAGATGGCCTAAATAAATAAATTAAGACTCAGATTGGTCATGAGCTGGAAGTTTTATTCTGTGATGTTTTTTCCCCAAAATTAACATTTAAATGTTCTGTTGTTGCAGTAAAGGTCTGTGTCTGCTAAAAAAAGAGAGAGAGAGAGAGAGAGAGAGAGAGAGACAGGTTCTCTTGAAGCTGCTAAAAATGACCAGGCTTGGGGGCCAGGGAGATGGCTCAGTAGAGTAAGCACTTCCCTGGCAAGCACAAGCGCCTGAGTTCAATCCCCGATTCTGCCAAAAAGTTAAATAAATAAAATTTAAAAAAAAAAATGACCAGGCTGATTCAAACTTCTTTTTCTTTTTGAGACAGGGTCTCACTATCTCACTATGCAGTTCAGGCTGGCCTTGAACTCACTTTGTAGCCCAGGGTGGCCTCGAACTTACAGCAATCCTCCTTCCTAAACCTCCCAAATGCTGGGATTACAAGTGTGTACCACCATGCCTGGCCTGATTCAAACTTCTGACCCTCCTGCCTCACTCTCCCAGAGCCCTAGGATTACAGATGCAATCCACCATGGCCCACCAAAAGTGTATTTTTAAAAGAAAAACGTATATTTACATAGGATGAAGAATCAAAGGATATTAATCAAATGTTAAAAGTAATTTCTATTTCCTTCCTTTTTTAAAAATTTTATTTTTATTTATTTATTTGTTTGTTTGTTTTTTGCGGAACAAGGGATTGGACTCAGGCCTTGCGCTTGCCAGGCAAGCACTTAATCTACTGAGCTATCTCCCCGGCCCCCTTATTTCCTTCCTTTTGCTTACCTGTTTTTGTTTTTGTTTTTTGAGATAGGGTCTCACTACATAGCCCAGGCTGGCCTTGAACAAAAGGCAATTCTCCTGTCTTAGCCTCCCAAATGCTGGGATCATGTGCCTGCACCACTACACCTAGCTAAAAAATCATTATTATTGTTTTTATTAGTATTATTTGGTATTGGGAATTGAACTCAGGACCTTGCACTTGTCACACTGGTGCTGTGCCACTGAGCTGTATCCCCAGCCCTAAAAAAATTACTATTGATGGGCTGGGGAGATAACTCAGCAACAGAAGTGCCTGTCTTGCAAACACAATATCCAGAGTTTGATCCCCAGTTTAAAAAAAAAAAAATACTATTGAGAAAAAAAAAAATCAAGTCTGACAGACAGCACTTTGTACCTCTTCCATCATATTTCAGAAAAGATCTAGATGCAAAACCTCAAACATACTTACCCTAGGTCACCAGAAATATCTCCCCCCTGGGACTATGGTAGTTCTGTCTTAATGGTCCATCCTTTTTAGGTGAGGTAGTACGAATCCTGCTTCTAATCTACATGTACTGAGATCCTTCCCTTAGTTGGGCTCCAGTTTTTTCTTTTCTAAACTCAGGAATTGGCCAGGGAGACAGCTCAGCAGCATAAGCACCTGCCTGGCAAGCGCAAAGTCCTGAGTTCGATCCCTGGTACAAAAAAAAACCCAAAAAACCCCTCAAGAATTATTATTTTGGTGGAACTGGGGATTGAACGCAGGCCCTTTTGCTTGCCAGGGAAGTACTTATTCCACTGAGCCACCTCTCCAGCCCCTAAACTTAAGAATCAGAATGAGTGATCTGCAAGGGTCCTTTCCAGTTGTAGAAGGAATCAGAATAAGAGAGAGAGAGAGAGAGAGAGAGAGAGAGAGAGAGAGAGAGAGAGAGAGAGAGAGAGAGAATATGTGGACATTACCATTACCTCCCAGGAAAATATTCCTTATTATTCTCCTGGGTCTTCAGACAAACAGTAAGTCACTTCCAGACCAGGTCTGACCTCTTACATCATTCTAGTCTTGGTGTAGGACTCAGCACATGGTAGGTGTTCAGTGAATTACCTTTCATTCTCCACCTATTACGAAACAACTCCGCGTATTTCAGGTTTGCTTATCAGTGGGTGCTCCTGCTGGTCATCTGGAGCTCATAAAGGGTTCTAACCACTGGAGCACACACACTGGATTTTTTTCCTGCCATAATTGTCACAATGTTTGTTTGTTTGTTTTAAATTTTTATTTATTTATTGTGTGTGTGTGTGTGTGTGTGTGTGTGTATGTGTGGCCAGCTCAGCCCACCAGGGGGCAGGGCTGGCTGGCATGTGGTGCTGGGGGATTGAACCGAGGTCCCTTTGCTTTGCTAAGCTGTTCTAAGTAGGTGCTTTAGACCACTGAGCCATCTCACCAGCCCCCACAATGTTTATTTGTCAATTTTCCAGAGATATAGACAGCTTTTATTTACACTTTCCTTAAGGCTGAAAAGCCAGTGGCAGATAATGGAGAGAACAATATTCAATGCGTGTCCAGGTAGGGTCATCGTCACTCTCAGGAACTCAAGCTCTAAGCACCTCATTTCCGGTGGTGTCAAGGCTGCTAGCGGACAGCTTCCGGAAACGGATCTGCTCTGACCTGAGGCTTCAGGAAAGTCCTAGTTGTTGTTACTAAAAGCTGTGTGACCTTGGACAAGTCCCTTCCTCCTACGGGAATGTTGCAGTGGGCTTACGCGCCTTTTTCCAGGAACTGTAACCTGGTCGGCCAACTGTTGTGAAAATATGTTTCTCAATGTTTTAATCCTAGACGACGCGCGTGGAGCACCAAAGGCAGAGGACCACAAGGGTCCCAGCGCCAGGCCGTGTAGGACCCGAGGGCTCCCCAGCTCTCGCGAGATCCCCCTCCTAGCGTCGTGTGACGTCATCGCCTCGGCGGCCGTAGCGACCGCGCGTAGGATACCCATAGGGGCGGCCCATATCCCTCCGCCGTCCGGCACGGTCCGGCCCTCTCTTCCTAGCCCGCCAATCCCTGCGCCTCCCGACCTGCTCCTCGGCCTGGGCCCACCCCGTGTCCCGCGGCCCCACCCCGGCGGCGCCGCCCGCCCGCCCGCGCGTCCCTCCGTCCACCTGCAGCAGCTGGGAGGTAGACGACTTCTTCGCTGGCCGACCGAGAGGCGTTTGCCCAGCCCAGCCGAGTGAGGCGTGCGGTCTGGGTCCCCGGCGGAGGGATCCGAGGCGGCAAAGGAGGCGGCGCCGACCCAGGAGGAAGAGGCAGCGACGGCGGCGGCTAGGGAGGCAGCGCATAAAGGGGCCGCCGCCGGGTGATGCGGTGAACGCTGCGGCAGGCCCAGAAGTCTTGCGGGCCCGGAAGCTGTGCGGGCCAGAAGCCGTGTGGGCCCTGGCCCTCAGCCCGTCCCGCCGGACCCGTGCTCTCGAACTTCCCATCTGGTCCGCGACCGCGGAGGCAGTCTCAGGCCCCCTAGTCCCTTCCCCGTCCCTCCCCCGCCCCCGTCCCCACCCCGGGGGGCCGCCGCCACCCGCCTCCCACCATGGCTCTGAAGAGAATCCACAAGGTAAGCGGTCCGAGTTGCTGCGGGGAGAGGCCACGGCCTGCACTGCCCGGAGCCGCTGCTGCCGTACTCGCGGCCTTGGGTGCCCACGGGGCGGCCTTCGCACCCCACTCCCAGTGATGGCGCCCGCGGAGGCCCGGCACGCCGCCTGCGCTCCAGTCGGAGGTGGTCTTGCTTGCCCCGCGTTCCTTCCAGCGGTCTTTCTGGCCCCGCGTGCTCCAGAGTCCCGGGGCCTCCTCCCTCCATCCCGGGACTGCGGAGCTCGAGGGCCATTGTCCGCCGGCCGGGCCGCGGATGGGGGTGGGGTGCCGGGGCGTTGGGCAGCCAGGGCGACAGAGGTCAAAAGGGCTCCTCGCCCCATCCCTGGGCCTCCTGCGCCCTCGTGGGCCCTGACTGTCTCCGCAGAACTGTCCGGGCCTGTGTTTCGGTAGATTGGGGGATGCCGTTTTGCCCGATCTACAACAGTTTCTTGAGTTCTCTTAGCTTAGGTTAGCAGCACACTTTTTATCTTGTCCACAAAGTGATTCAGTAAGAAGTTCAGAGGGGGAAAATGTGACCTACATGAGGAAGGAGGGAAGTAGAGGGGAAAGCATTTTATTCTTGGAGATTGCCATATGTAATAAAACCAATCACTTCAGTTCTGCAGGGTTGAATCTAATAGAAAAGCTGTCGAATTGCCAAGTGTAGAAGCCAGTCAGTTGAGAAACTGAAAATTGAAAAGCACTGGAGAAATTACAAAGGTTCCTTTAACCATCTCTTGAGAAAATGGACTTAACTCTGAAGTTAGGTACTATATGTTTAGGGTAGCCTTTTTAACTTAGAATGGGTTCTGCTCGATTTTCGACTAGAAAATATTTATTTGTGGTTTATTATGAAAGGTTATTTAGTTATAGGTAATATAACTATAGAAAATATGAACTCTGTTCTTATAGGTAATATAGCTGTAGATGTAGATAAAACATGAAGAGAATGGGTATGACAAACTTTAGGTTTTTTTGACCTTCTAATTTTATAAACTCAGTGTCAATTATTGTGAGTTTTTTTTCTAGGAAGTGGCAGATATCACTGATGATTTTTTGGCATTATGCTGGCTACTGAGAGTTTGCTTATATTTGCTTTTTAAATTTTGAGATAGTCTCTCTTAGTAGCTGAGTTGTTCAGATTGAGCTGGGGTTTGGAGTCCTGTCTCTGCCTCCCAGAGCGCTGGGATTACACGTGTGCAATGCTGTGCTTATAGTTTTTCAAACTCTCTTTTTGTTTTGTGTGTGTTTTAGTTTTAAACAGGGTCTTGGGATAGAGATTTAGACTATGAAGCTCAGGGATTGCAGGTGTATGCCCCACTCAGCTAATTTTTCAGTTCTTACACATGAAAAAGCACAGACTTTATTTTTTATTTTTTGGTGGAACCAGGGATTGAACTCAGGCCCTTGTGCTTGCCAAGGAAAGGCTTATTCCTCTGAGCCATCTCCCTGGCCCCCAAAAGCACAGACTTTAGATAGTGCTGAGGAAAAAACCATAGTGCTTGTTAAAGAAGTGTCAACTTTATTAAAAGAATTGTCAACAGACACTTTGAAGTGTCAGCAAACCTTTGAAGGACCAGGAGCACAGTGAGGAGTCATGAATAAAATATAAATAAATTTTTAAGACTTTTAGGAGTTACTAGGATATCTTACTAGATCTAATTAGAAAATAAGCAATTTGAGATATCATTTCGTTTATACCTTTAGAATATTGTACTCTTAAACCTGGAAGGGAGCGAGTATAGTATGTTGTAACGTTTAGATCAGGAATTGTATTTATTCTCTTCATTGTCTTGCGCATTAGATTTTTTTTTTTTTTGAGATAGGATCTCACTGTGTAGTGCAAGCTGGCTTTGTATTCAGCAGTCCTCTTGCCTCAGCCTCCAAAGTTCTGGGATTAAAGGCATGTTCCACCATGCATGCATCTATCCATCCATCCATCCATCCATCCATTCGGTCATCTATCCATCTATCTGGTACAAGGTCTCACAGCTCAGACTCAGTGATCCTCCTGTTTTCACCCTCCCCAGCGCTGGGATTACAGGCCAGCTCAGTTTGCCTGGGAGTGATGCCAGCGTGGCATGCAGTACTGGGGATTGAACCTGGGTTCCTGCACTTGCCTAAGTAGGCATTTAGTCTAGTGAGCTGTCTCACTGACCCAGCTGCTGCTTTTTAAATTTTTTTTTTTTTTTAGCTTTTTAAATTTTTGGTGCTGGGGACTGAACCCAGGGTTTCCTACTTCTTAGACAAGTGTTTTGCCACTGAACTAAGTCCCCAGCACCTCCAGCCCTTTGGTTTGGAGACGGTCTGTCTATGGCCATACCGTCTTGGACACACCAGATCTCTCTTTTGAGACCATCTTGGTGGTTTTTTGTTTTCCTTTTTTTTTTTTTTTTTTTTTGGTGTGTTTGTGTGTGTGTGTTTTAATGTTTGTTTGTTTATTTATTTATTGCAGTACCAGGGATCAAACTTGGGATCTTGTGCTTGCAAGTTAAGCATTTATGCTGCCGAGCTATCTCCCACTGAGCTATCTCCCTTGCTCCTTGGCATTTTTGGCCTTGAGCTCAGGGCAGTCTTCCTTCTTTAGCTTCTCTACTGCTAGCACTACAGTACCACCATGCCTTGCTTGAGATAGTTTTGCTAAATTGCCTAAACTGGCCTCAGATTTGAAAAACTTTAAATCCTCCTGCCTCAGTCTCTTGGAGTAGCTAGCTGGAATAGTGTACCAGAGTGAGTGGACCTTGTAAATTTTTTTTTCCTGTATTTTAGAGAAGGACCTACAGGGTGTCCAGGGTCTCACTACTAGATTGGACTTGTAGTGATTCTCCTGTTTACAGCCTCCCCTAAGTGCTGGGATTACAGGCGCACGCCACCACACCCAGTCTCACTCGCTGTCTCAGAGTGCCCCAGGAGCTGGGCCAACATGGCAGGCCCAGGCCTTTGTAAAATTTTTAATAAAATTGAGTTTAGAAATAATAGCTTGAACTTTTAAAACTCACTGTTGGAGCCGGGGAGGATGGCTCAGTGGAATAAGCCCTTGCCAAGGGCCTGAGTTCAATCCCCCATTCCACCAAAAAAAAGATAGCACTATCTTATCTCAGTCTTAATAATGTGTCTAAGATAGACTCCCTGAAAAGACTTCCTTGGCTTATATAATTGCTCTTGGTCTTGAACTTTCCTAATTACCATTCTTTGAAACACAGTTCTATTTAAATACTCTTTCAACTTCAGATGTCATTAGCTGCTATACATCTGTGTTCTAATAAATATTTTCTAAGAAAAAACACATTTGACATGGCATTTTTAAGAATTCAATATCTTGTTTCTTTGACAGGGATTCTATTTATGTCTGAATTTGGCAGTCTTTTAAATGCCACATCTTTTTGGAAAAGGCTTTTGATGGACTTTATTTTGAAACACATCTTAAGGCTTCTGGACCTATGCTTTAAGCAGAGTATACCGGAGAGAGTCATTATGAACATACATTGTGCTTCTGGCAGGGATTGAGATCCTTTGGGGTTTTTTTGTATCTACACCAAATGAATGGCTCTAGCCTGCTATGTTTTGAAGTTTTTCTGCTGACTTTATAGGTCTTCAGCTTTGATTTTGATGCTTTGAGTGTCTGCCTGTAGAAGCACCACCCCCAGCCCTTTTCCAGTTGGCTATGTATCATCTGTTGTGGGCAAAGAAACCAGATCACGGAGCTTATTAAAATTGTGTCTAAAATAAGATCTAGTGGGCTCCAAGTGAAGAGGGTTTCATGTGTTCTGTGAACTACATGGTCTCTGACAGATGAGAGACCTTTTTGACTTGCTTCCTGTTTTTCGTTTTGTTACACAGATACAGGAGGCTCTTCTGTGAGTGCTACAACATTGATGTATGGGATTAATTGTTCTGTTCTTGGGAAAAAGGTAGATATCTTGATTTTTTTGAGGAGTTGAAGATTCACCAAAGTCACAATTCTAAAAAACTTATTTAAAATATTTATTTTAGGGCTGGAGAGATGGCTCAGTGGTCTAAAGCACCTACTTGAAACAAGCTTGGCAAAGCACAGGGACCGCGGATCGATCCCCAGCACCACATGCCAGCCAGACCTGCCCCCTGGTGGGCTGAGCTGGCCACACACACACACAAATAAATAAAAATTAAAAAGAAAATTAAAAAAAAAAAAATAAAAAAAAAAAATAAAATATTTATTTTAAAGAGTAAACAAATATATTTCAAAGTAAGATAATAGGAAGGTAATAGTACATGGTGTATTTTTATCTTTTCTCAGAGTACAAGATATTGGCATTCAATTGTCCAAACAGTATTAGCACAAACCTTTTCCGTGAACTAAGAGAAATTAGTAGTGTAACTCTTTCTCTGTATATGAATATATATAGTGTGTGTGTATATATATATATATATTTTTTTTTTTTTTTTCACCCCTCTGTTTCCCCATTCCAGTTTCTCTTTTCTTGTGAGCAGTTTCTTCCCTTTTTAAAAATGTATTTGGTACAGGGTCCACAGGTTCTTACCACATAGATCGGACTCATAGTGATCCTCCTGTTCTCAGCCTCCCAAGCACTGGGATTATAGGCCTGTGCCACCATGCCCAGTCTCATTCACGGTCTCAGCATGCCCTGGGGGGGCGGGGCTGTCACTGCACACTGGGATCGAACCCTGGCTGCTGTGCTGTGCCTAAGTAGGCACATTAGTCTGTTGAACTATCTAGCTGGCCCTCCTGTTCCTGTTTCACACACACACACACTTTATGTATTTAGTACAGGGTCTCACTACACAGCTTGGATTTATAGTAATCCTCCTGTTTTTAGCCTCCCTAGTGCTGGGATTACAAGTGTGTGCCACCACACCAGGTCTCAGTGGCTCAGCATGCCAGGAGCTGAGCCTGCATGACAAGTGGTGCTGGGGACTGATTCTCGGTCTCTGTGCTTGCCTAAGCAGGTGCTTAGTTCACTGAGCTATTTTGCTAGCCCTCTG